AAAAAAAAAAAGAAATAATAAGAAAGCGTAACAAGAAATAAAACAAAACAAAAAAAAACCAAAAAAAATTGAAACAAAAAGGACGATGGACGAGTGGAATAAATAAATTAGAAGAAAAATTTAAAAAAATGAACAAACGAACGTACGTACGTACGAACGAACGAACACAGAGTAATAAAAACATAGATGAAGAATAAGAAAAAGAAGATGGAATAAAGAAAAAGAAAGAAAAAAATATAAGAGACAACACTTAACACGAATTAAATCAAATATAATTCTTAATATTATATGAAATAATTCGTGAATATATTCATTAAGTGTTGTTTTATGTTGTTGTTGTTGTGTTGTGTTGTGTTGTATTGCACGACGCGGATTAAAAGAAGATTAAATTGTAAGAACGTGAATAAGAAATTAAAAAAAAAACAAACAAATTGAGTAAAGAAATTTTGTAAGGAGCTTGTTGTGTAATATTAAAAACAAACGAAGAGCTTTGACGAAAAGTGTGCTTGACGAAACGAGAATAATGAATAATGAATAATAATAATTATTATTATTAAAAAAAAAAAAAAAAAATACCCGCGTTTTAAATAGAAGAAAGACGTAAAAAAAAAAAAAAAAAAAAAAAAAACCAAGGATAGATATGTTTTGTGTGAAAAACAAAAATAAAAAAGAAACAAATTACGAAAATGTAATAATAATTATTAAAAAGAATGGACAAAGAAAAAAAAGAAAGTTTGAAATGAAGGAGTTGGGGGAGGATAGAAAAGAAAGGATGGTAAATAAAAAACGTTTCAGGTATATGAAATCCCTCCAATACTAGATCTCAATTGCTCGTAACAATCTCTACGAAGAATTATAATTAATTAAATAAAAACTTTGACCACATACATATACACAAACACACATATACACATACCATATGCATACTTAACAACAACACACAAAGCGGACGTTCTACAAGAAAGAAATACGCCTATTACGATCGATCAATCGTCGTTGGAATAAAAAAAGAAAAAAAAGAAAAAGAAAAATCGTGAGAGGGTGAAAAAGATGGGGGTGAGGAGGGTAAATGAACACGAGAGAGAGAGAGAGAGAGAGAGAAGAAAGCAAATAAAATAGAATTTAAAAATTAGTCAAATGAAAACGATAAAAGTGAAAATAAAATGGCGTTGTAGTTTACATCATCGTCGTAGCTTGTCGATCATTATAATTGTATAATTAGCATTTAATTAATTATTGATAAACAATAAGACTCTTGATAAGACTCTTAAAAGTCGTCGTCGGTGCTAATTTTAAGTATCGAAAATTTTCGTGTTTTTTCTTTTTCTTTTTCTTTTTCTTTTTTTTGTTCCTTATTATTCTCTTCTTCGATGGTAAACAAATTATTGATTATTTATGCATAGTTTTTATTTGTGTCAAAGGGATTTGAACAAAATACTTTGAATGAATTGAATTCGATAATGAATGACGAAAAAAATAATATACGTTCCTTTTAATCGCGAATATGTGTGTGTGTGTGTGTGTTTTTTGAAAACCAAAAGAAAAGAGAAAGAAAGAAAGGAAGAAAGTGAGTTGCAACAAAAATGAAAAAAAATTGTACGCGAATTTTGATTGAATTTCTTTAAAAGATAGATTTAAGTTTCACTGTAAATTTTTGAATGACCCAGCTTTAATTCAACTTCCTTTTTCAATGGGGCTGGTATCCCATGAAAAATACAGAAAGAGAACGTGTATGTATGTTAACGTTTGTATGATTCTACGTATGTATGTATGTATGTATGATTGTATGTATGTGTGTATGTATGAGAGAGAATGGTTACATTCTTAAATAAATTATTATACGACCATACGATAACTTAAAAAACAATTATATTAACAATTTTTAAAAATTAATGATAATAACGATAATTACATATTACACGACAAAAAAAAAGAAACAAACGGATTCGATTATTATAAAAATGAAAATATATTCCGTTCGGAACATAAATAAAAAAAAAAAAAAATGATTTTCATTTTCTCGTTATCTGACGATGTATGAATTGAAAAAAAAAAAAAAAA